GGACGGAGAAAGAAAAAGCAGCAGCAGTTCCCCCTGTATTGTTCCAGCACAGTATGAGTATGACATTGATATATCAGCCAGTGTACTATTCAACAGTGCTTAAGAAAATGTTAATATTCCCCAACTTTCTTCTGAATAGAACATACACTTCAACTTCCATGTAAATAAAATAAAACCAAACCTTCCCCAGTGGGTGGTTGGCGGGTGCTCTGGTGTGGTTTGCTTCTTCTTTCCTATCAAACATCTATCGTCCTTATCTCCCCTCCTTCTTTTTTATGTTTGTTACTCTCTTGTAACACCTCTAATCTTCTGGCGCTCATATGCAGTTGCGAGCGCCGTAAAACCTCTACTGAAACTAAAACACACCTTCCCCCAACGTGTTCTTCGTCTGATTACTCATACCACGAGACTGTGTATCATCACCTGTTCATCATCACCTGTCCCACTGCGCGTGCGGTCCTAAATGACATCGGAGCTGCTGCACTTTTCCCCCCGAAACCTAACCCTGACAACACACTCCACGGATTGTATTACAATGACAGCAACTGCAGCAAACCTGCACTTATCAGTACCGTACATAATACATGGCATTGGGAAAAAAAGGGCGAGAGCCCAGCTGTTGCTAGATCGATAACAAGAACAATAACAATAACACCCCTTGCAACATGGGAACGTCAACTTGGGAGCGGTGCATATTGTGCGTCCTCTTACTGTTGCGAATGTGCTTTATTCGTGGAAGCAGTTATCTGGTCAGTATTTCTGTAGCTTTAGATCTCAATATGTTGTGTTTTTATAAAAATTGGTCGTCTGTAAGCGCAAGGGGGCTGTCCCGAAAAATGCTGTTTTGAGAAAATCGATGGTAAAGTTTTGCCCCTTGTTCAGTTACCTTAAAAGGCAAGGAAAGTTTTCTATATTTTAAACCAAATATGCACATCAATGGAACCAAACGTCTCTTCAAGGTAGAGCAATGCCCACTTTTGTTGTTGGCCAAGATTATTGGAAACCCCCGAGATCTGGGTTAGCCCGCTTGTCCTTAAAAGCGACCTATTTATTTTGCGACTTTTTTTTTTCTTCCAACATTTCGTTTCTTCTAACTTGACAAGTGTGTTTGAAGTTGAAGAACGGTATTGTATTCCGTGTGGGTGGAAGGTGGGAGCTCTGGTATGGTTTGCTTCCTGTTTCCTTACAAGACAACTAGTGGGTTGTTGGCGGGTGCACTGTTGTGGTTTGCTTCCCGTTTCCTTTCAAGACAGCTATCATCCTTATAATCTACTCCTTCTTGTCTCTGTTTGTTACTCTCTAGTCGTGGGTGGTTGGCGGGTGCTCTGGTGTGGTTTGCTCCTTCTTTCCTATAAAAAAAAACCTATCATCTCTATCTCCCCTCCTTCTTTTTCGTGTTTGTAACTCCTCTAATCTTCGGCACTTATATGACCTTATTGTGTTGCAAGTGCCGTATAACTCTTACTAAAAGTAAACTAAACACTCAAGTCGTCTTTGGTAATTACATAGCATTATTGTGTTGCAAGTGCCATGAAACTCTTTGTAAAATTAAAACTAGAGTTATTGTATACCACCACATGCCAGCCTCCCAACCCACCCCGTTTATATATTTATAATACAATCTGTGCTTGTCCCATATATAGATCTATGCTTGTTTTGTGTTGTGTTGTGTTATTTGTTTTTCTTTTCTTTTCCTTGACAAGAGGGAGGGGGAAGGAAAATGTGTGTGTGTGTATGTGTGTGTATGTGTGTGTGTGTGCGTGTGTGTGTGTGTGTGTGTGTGTGTGTGTGTGTGTGTGTGTGTGTGTGTG